CGCAGCAAATACAATGGAGTTTTGCACCTAAAATAGAACTTCTTTGAAGAGAGGCTGGAGAACTGAAATATCAGGGGAATGGACAGAGAAGCATTGGAACACACGAGGCCACATTTTATTACAAATACGGAACGATTGAAGGTGTTGGTTCAAACATGTCACCAGGTTTAAAAATAATTAGAGTTTTACAACGCTTTTCTCTTTATGGTCGCAGTTGTTTTCACACAAGCATACAATGGAACGACATGCAACAACACCATGCGGTGTATAATTTACCATCGACAGTTAACACACATACGCAGCACCAGCAATTTATTCTTTACACCATTGTCTTGTTGTGGCATTTCTGCCTCTTTACAGAGCCACTCCCTAATTAGCAATCACAGATTTCCTGCATCCCCCTGCCGGCTGTCGTCGTTCCGGCCCTGACTATAACACACAGGCATTTATTTTGTACAACAAACAGCATATGTGTGTGTGTGTGTTTGAATCTGCATTATTAGCAGCTATTCAATTTTGATGTGTTGGAGTCAGCAAGGCAACACAAACAACACCGGAGGAGAGTGTGGGATTAAGAGAGAGAGAGAGGCAAAGGTTCCTAATAGAGCAGTCAGTAAAAGTTGATGGTCGACTGCATTCATCAGGGACTTAGTCACAGGGTAGTAAGTGAGACCAGGCGTCATACATTTAGACCTCATTTTTTTTATTATAACCCTTCTCCCGGAGATTGCTATAAATAATGCATATTGCAGTATTGCACTGCATGCACATAAACATCTCTTTCACCTGGGAGCCAATTACTGGCTAGAAGAAATAAAGGTGTTATCCAAGCTGACATGGTGAACTGACCACTGTTGAGCATGTGGTCTGAAGTGAGTCAGCACTTACAGCTTACTCGGTGAAAAGAAGCAAAACCTGGAAAGAAAAGTTACTTTTGTTCTGGTTAAAGTTACAGAACCATTCTCCAGAAAAAAAGTCATTCTACTTCCTGAAGAACGATTGAAATCGAACGTTCTAGTTCTCTCTTTCTTTTTGTCTCGGTAGTATTATCTTTTATAAAACCAAACATTAAAAAATGAAAACATATTAATATATCATGTACTGTACAACCTTTTATTATATGATACACTGCTTCCTAGCACAGCATATAAAACGTGGCTGGTCTCTAACTACAGTTATTATTTCTATTATTATTAGAGATTTAGGGATTCAGAGGAAAGGATGGAAGCTGCTGCTGAATGTGTCCTTAGGGCTGGGGTTGCATTAGGAGCCACTAACATCAGTGTGTCTTCCTATATTCACATGATGGCTGGAGGTGTTTGTATTAGTTGTAATATTGTATTATTTTTCTGAGAGGAAATGTGCTATGCAAGACCTTGTGTGTGTGTGTGTGTACTGTATATACACACATACACTGTATATACATGTATGTATATGTATATATATGTATTTATATATATGTTTGTGCACACATACATAGGTGTATGTATATATATATACATACGTATATATATGTACATACGTATACATATATATATACACACTCATATATATACATACAGTATATACACATATATATGTGTGTATATATATATTTTGGTTTTTGAAAAACTGAAATAAGCAAGATATATATATTTTGGTTTTCGAAAAACTGAAATAAGCAAAAAACTTTCAAACTTGAGGTTTTTTGATTTTTTTTTTACACTCCCTAGGTTAGAAGTCATCAGACGTAGACACTTAAGCTCAAACTGTTTTCCCCCAGTGCTTTTCACAGAAATATCAAACAAACATTTTTTTTTAGCCAATTTCACACGCCTTAACATGAATTACTTAAAATGGGTGTCCTGTGTGCTCGTCCAGAATGAGAATGTCCAAAGCTCTTCTGGGCCCTGTACCCTAGCATCGCAACTCCCTCCAGCTTGGGCGAGGTCATTACGGTAACCAAAGAGATAGAGGTTGGGGGCCATAGTGGCGTCTGAGACGCTGTAATTGGTCCCGTCTGGTGGGTTGCTCTGAGCTCTTCAGCAGCTGGGCGATTCATCACTGCCGGGGCAGCAGAGCCCGACCAGAACACAATTTGTTGCTGGGAGGAAATTGTTACTCATCGTTCTGACCTGCTCCCAGTAGTCCCTTCTATCCTAAGCCTTAACCGAAGCTCAAGTTTTAGACGTGGGAGAAAAACATCCTGTAGGGCCATACAGAAATCATTCTGTTTTCATCCAATAAACATTTAATACTGAGCTGTTTGTTTCCGTACATAGAGGTAATTATTTATTTCCAGAGACCCTGGACGATCAAACATAGAAACCTAAAGTCACAAGGTATTAAGTCATAAAATTAGATATAAGAGCTAGGGCTGAATCGAATTAATCAAAGTGTAGCTTGAATTGGTCATGGATAATCATGATCAAAATTAATCAGTATTAACCAGGTAGATGTAGGTGGATATTTGACTCCTTTTTTTTATGTATTTGACTAATTCAAGTGATGAAAATAATGTGGAGAATTGTTCTCAATAATATTCAAAAATAAAACTCCAAACATAGATCTATGGGGTTGGTGGATGTCAGTCATCAAAACTTCCATGAAACTATGGTCCTTGACAAGATTAATCAGTCCAGACAAGTGGTTCTTAACCTGGGTTCAATTGAACCCAAGGTGTTCGGTGAGTCAGTCTCAGGGGTTCGGCGGAGACGAGACAAACACCTGACTCATATGATTCGTGATGACACGTGCCACGCTTGGCCATTACTGCAAGGTTCGGCGATTGCGCATATGAAACTGGTTCTGGGTTCTGTACCTCCAACAAGGTTAAGAACCACTGGTCTAGATTCCCTCGTAATGAGTTGTGTCAGGATGCTTGTCAGCTATAGATGGACTTTCTGGGCTGTGTTGGGTGAAGCTTGTGTGACCCAAGTTGGGCGTCAGACCTGAAGTTTAAGCCCTGGCGAAAATATGTTACCTCTCCTTATTGAGATGGTATTTTAAGCTTGAGATGTTTCGATGGAAAAAAAAAACAAAAAAAAAAACACTTTGAGGCAGTGGTTCTTAATTACTTTCTGCCAGCCGCCCGCTAGGGGACCCCTGACTTGAGGCTTGTCTGCCCAGCGTTCTACATTCCATTGGAAGCCTCTCACTCCCCCACCCCCAGCACCTCACCCGCCTCACTATTTGAGAAGTACCAGAGTGTATCATTCTGTCCACCTAACAAAATGCATGCATTTAAGTCTGATCAATGTCCTAAATTAATAATCACTGTTAATGCATTACATTTGACAGCCCTAATAAAAAACACAACACTTCGATAATAAGCCGCTGCGAACACATTTTAATGTCAAGGTTCATTTATAACCTCTATTTTTTGATTTGTCAGTCTCGGAGAGTCGTGCCGGCAGCCAGTGGATTCCCACACATGCTGTGGACTCAGCGGGAAATGTGCTGTTTGCTCTTTTGAGATTAACTCCAAACCAATAATTTCATATTTGCTAAATGGTCCTTACAGTTGAGATTTCAGCACATCGCTCAGTCAGACAGATAATGAATTTGTTGTATTGATTACGATGCTCGGGAGCCCCTTATGGAAAATATGAAGTGTCAAGTACTCATTAATTCTCCCGAGAAGTTGGCAAACATCATTGACTCATTCCATTACACGGAGTCCACATATAATTGACCTCTTGGCTCATTGCTCCTGAACGAGCTAAAGTTGAAAGTGCGAAAGTTTTGAAACCACTTTTTTTATTTATTTTTTTGCTGATGATTCTTTCCCGCTGACTGAATATTCCTGTTCATTTTATGTGTATTTAAGGATAACGTGTGAAGTGCACATTCTGATGATGAGAAATGCCAGGAGCATATCAAACACTTATTAGTTTCTTCATTCATATGCGCTAACATCAAAGGGCTCTTTGTGTGTGTGTGTCTGTTTTTTATTTATTATTTTACCTGAATTTTCCTCACAGCTAAACACCGGACAGAAAGAAGGAGAGATAATATAATTGGGCTTAAAAGTGGAGAATTGCTTCCTTTTATGTTTCCATGTAAACACGCTTAATTGACTTTAGTTTTATCATGCCAAAAATGCAGACACTGTATTCTTAAAAAAATATACATATATATATATATATTGTTATACTGACGGAGACAGTGTGCAATATTAACCAGATTGTTTTCTGCGATCCCTTTAAAAAGCGTTGAGGTCAACTGTTAGAACGAAACGTGACACCAGTTTTGGAAACTGCAAACAGAAAAGCAGAAATGTGAAAAAAAAACAAAGAAAACAAACACAAAATCCTAATAAATTAAGGTATTTATCATTTTCTTTTTTTTTTATTTAAACTTTACCTTATTTATATTCTACTTAATTGGCTATAATTTGAAATCGGGGCTCTATCCAATTTGTTCTCAAACATAGCTCCCAATTTTGCTCGTGTTTAAAACACTGATCTTCTCTCTTTTTGTTTATATAAACCTTTTTTTTGTTGTTGTTATATTTCTAACTAAAGTCAACCAGAAGGTTGACTAAATACTGAGAAAATAAAACAAAACAAGCTCACAAAGTATTGGATACTATGTAGAGATACAATTACTGCATTATATACACAGCCATGTCTCCTATTGATCAGAGCTGCTGTCTTTTCAAAATTAAAGCTTACATTAAGTAATTGCATATGCAGTACGGTCAGTCAGAGTCCGGTCAGATGGATCTCTTCATCCAGGGTTCGTGGCTCATTTTCCTAGCCACAGGCTGCACTCCTAGTCGTCTTTGGGGACGGGGATAGAAAACCACCTTTGTATTTATTTTAAACCTTATACTACACTAAAATCCGGAAAACGACCTGGCCAATGTCCAAATGGCCTTTAATTTTATCAGACAAAAATATATATAAATAAATGTATTCAGCCGCCTAAATATTTGCACAGTACTGCCTTTTTTCCCCTACTGCATATAGTTGCTATTTCAACATATCTCAATGTTTGTTTTTTTCCTATATTTGCAGGGGAGCTGTATATCGGTGGCGTGACAAAGAACATGTACAGTAATCTGCCCAAACTCATTGCATCCCGGGATGGGTACCAAGGTTGTCTGGCCTCTGTGGACTTGAATGGGAGACTCCCCGACCTGATTGCAGATGCCCTCCACAGGGTGGGTCAAGTGGATCGAGGCTGCGATGGTGAGTGTTTGAATCACATGACAATGAGTTTAGGAATCTATCTGGTTATAGTCATAAAAAAGTGATAAAAATATAGTGTAAATGCAGACAAACTGTGTTTCATTTGTAAATAATAATACAGCCATATTTTATATTATATATATTTTTTGCCAAACATACGGCCCGCGGGCAAGAGTCGGCCAACAAGATCAATTTTGAAAATAAAAAAAATGCAAAACTCTTCATGTTTAGAATATTTTTTTTAAAAAAGATGCAAAACTCTTCATGTTTAGAATATTATATATTTATAATAAAAACTCTTCATGTTTAGAATATTTTTTAAAAAAAAGTATCTATCCATCCATCCATCTGTTTATCTATCCTGAACATGAAGTGTTTGTGTATTTTCTGTATTTTTCAACTTACTTTATTAGTTTTACTCTGAATTACTTCAGTCTTTATGACCTTTAAAAAAGCTTGATTTTTCACAGTGTCATTTGTGATTAGCGACGTGATATTGTATGCATCTTATGCATCTAAAGTTGTTATATCTGTTTACCTCCACGCCCCCATAATATACCAGACACTCATCTGCAGAGAGCCTCTAGTAAAGAGACGCCATTACAGTAACTTATTGCACATTTCTGCAGCTGCACTTTTCTGATATACACCAACCACCACGCCCAAATGTGCACAGCCCTGGGCAGCCTTTTGCAGCTGTGTTCCCCATTGTCTGTATATCATCACTCCTGGCCCATTAAACCTGCATGAGTGCGGTATCTCCCTCCTGTGTTGTTTTGTGTCACTGCAGCTAATCTCGGTGACGCCCCATCCACACTGCTTTTGCTCTCATCTTACTTCATTTATTGTTTTTTCATGTCTGCTTCCTGGCTGCAAGCTTGTTGTGTTGAGGAGTTTATTGCAAGTATAACAGATTTTTTAACTGAACTTTTTTTTTTTTTCTTTCCCTTTACCCTGTCTGCACCCTCACGTCTCAATGGTATACCGAGTATTGGAGAGCACAAACTTGATTTCCCTGAGGGCCACACTGGCCGAGTCATTGTGGCACTGATCCAGTTCTTTTTTCTTCTTCTTCTTCTTCTTTTTCTTGATCCCTAATGCTAGTACTTCTGCCAGCCAGCCGTACTACCTAACTACAGTTATACAACGCAATTACTTCACTCCAAACACAGTTTTCAACTTCGTCGAGCGGTCATATTGATTTCTGCCGTCACCAAAATGGATCTCAGCATCATATAATGACTGGATTTGCCAGTGAGCTGAGCAGACGTAATATAATAATTAAGGAACACTGGGCCTTTCAGGCAAATCACAGGGTACACTTATGTGGTGTCGTTGCAACGTTATGTATTCTTTGTTTGATATTTTATCAAGACATCCAAGCAATGTTGAATGGCTATCTTTTCCGGTAATTGAATTCAGGATAATATTTTCGAGTCAAATTTCACTCTAACCAGTTTAAGGGACTCGCTTTTTGTTTACCTTTTTGCTCTTTAAAAGTTCCTAAATGCTAATATTGAAAACACTGAAACCTGATTCAACCAAACTTTTTTATTGCGTATACACACTGCCAGTCCTCTGTGCCTAGCTCTGTCGTCGGCGCTTTGTCGTTTATGATCTGCATTTTCAATCATATTCGATGATAAAGTTATATAGCTCTGATATAGCCACTTTATCTGAGCTGTCCTTGGTTACAATCTTGTTCCAATGTAGTTACTTATTTGGAGAAATTTAAAGAAACATTTTCTATCTATGTCATATGTATGACTAATTTCCTCAATGACAATTGTCTGAGATATAGTCGATAAAGATCCTGAATTTTTTCCAGGCCCTTTAATGCCCACTTTCTAAATACAGTGTCTGTTATTCTTGGTATAAAATGAACTTAAATGTAATAGTCCTTAATTGTACTGCCCAATAATACCAAGTTGTATTTAAAGATTTTAAACCTCCATTACTATATGGTAGGTGTAATGGGCATAGTCAAATTCTAGCTCTGTTGTTTTACCATATGAAACTAGTAAATGGAGTGAAATTTTACCATATGAAACTAGTAAATGGAGTTTGTCCCAAATCAGAAATATTTTTTATTGAAAATACCACCGTCCTATATGACCTTCAAAATGAACTAATTAGTAAGGTTTGAGAAAATTCAATAGCAGTACGAGAACCAAATACAGAACCTGTTTTGTACAGTATGTGACAGTAGCGCTCGGTTCGCAGCATCATTAGTGCAACCAAAAATAAAGAGGATTGATGTGCGAGTCTAAAACAGCAACAATCAAACCTTCTCTCAGACTTTTAACACTTTGTGCCTACAAGGATGTAAAAGTGCCCTCAAGCACTGTTTGTTTTAGGCTGCCATGAAATGAGCTGCTCCGGCGTCTGCTCTACTTGTTATGAGTCATTTCATGAACTTTTGGCAGTGCTTCCTCTGCTGCTTGTGTTTCCCCCACACATGCCATCATCGCCAACCCTACGTTGTTGCTGTTGTTCAGTTTCTTAGGCCCTTAACAGGTTCTTGGGAATCATTTAATGTAGCATGTCTTCTTAGAGGTTGAAACTTAGACAGTGACCTGTATTTCTCAAAGGAAAACTAAATAGGAAATTGGTGAAATTGTCTCTCATACTATTATTTGGTGTTAGTCCATACAAAATTGGTGGTAAAATTGGTGGTAAAGTGGTAATATAACAGGCACTGTTCCCCCCACCCCATGTAAATAGGATGAACAAATGAGGGCAAGATCTGAACCAAACTTTTTGTAAGCTAGAAGGTGGGACGTATACATGAAAATTCAAATGAACAAATGTGCAGACATGTCATCCTAAGGTTAAAACAGACCGAAGCATTTATATATGAGTCAATCTGGCTAGGCTGTATTCACAGTCTCTATTCAATAGTTAGTCACTATTATCTATGTCTGTGACTAAATCTCTCATAAACTTAGCAAGAAAGTCTTGTTTCATCATTACGTTGTACAGCATTAAAAGAAATTCACAGGAACTAGTTGAAGTGGACAAATATAGCGGCACTATAGATAGGTAGACAGATAGATACAGTATATGGAAAGATGGATGACAATAGATAGATAGATAGATAGATAGATAGATAGATAGATAGATAGATAGATAGATAGATAGATAGGTAGATAGATAGGTAGATAGGTAGATAGATAATTATAAGATTATTGTAAGATCATGTAACAAGGATTATGTTAAATGAAAAAGTTAATAAAATCCCATTTTAGAATTTGGGGAAAAAATTCGAACATGAAAACGTTACATAAATCAATAAATCAATAATTTTGCAGATAAAAACAAAACTAAAATAAAACTACATTTATTTAAAATTTTGCGATAATAATTTTTTTTTTTTATTACACATTTTTGGAAGTGTTCACACAGCACCACGTGGCCCCATCCAGGGAAGACAGTGGGCTACCTCAATGTTTCCATGCCTGATAAGAAGAACTGATGTCACAAACACAACATATATCAGTGTGACATGAACTTTTTTTAAAAACATTTTTTTGTACTTGGAAATGTACAGGAACAATTTCGCTTTGTTCGCTGAAATGTACAGGAACAATTTCGCTTTGTCAGAAACGATCATATCACAGAGATACGCGCATTTGGATACTTCCAGTATTATATGATGAATACTCCTTAATTACCAATCCAAACTTAATACAAAACATATTGCAAGATTTCCTTGGTCAAAACTGATCGTATCAGTGGCTGTCGTGGCTTAGTGGTTAAGGAAGGATTGAGTCCACCAGCTGCCAAGTTACCTCTGAGGTGCTCTGAGCATGGAGCCGTCCCCACACACTGCTCCCTGGGTGCCCAGTGCTGCCCACTGTTCACTTTGATGGTGGGTTAAAAGCAGAGGTCACATTTGGTTGTGTGCAGCGGTGTGCTGTGTCACAATGACAAGTATAGTGTAGTTCCCTTTCCTTCCTTCCTATCTTTGGCACGGTCAAGTTGCACCTGTCGCCTCTCGTCCTCTTCTTAATTCAGAGTAAACTCTCAGCAGCACTAGGCACTGGAATCACGACTGCAACGGAATTTAAAAATCCATTGTTCCATAGACGGGTTGCTGAGAAAAGCAACATTTTTTAGTTATTAATTATAAAAAATATGCTTAATTAGCCCCAGATTGGGACTCTTGACTGGTGAGTAATGGAGGAGGAGGTAGTTTGGGGAAATGAAGATGGCAAACGGCCAGACATGCTGATAAACCTCATTATGAGTAGGCATTTCTTTGCTGTTTCAGAAGAGCCAGTCCTTTTTCCATTCATTCATTTTTCTTCCTGTCTTTAAGGTGGTGAGGGAAGGAGGAGGGGTTAATTTGGCTATTTGTAAAACACACAGTGAGATATCGGTTTATCTATGTGGAAACAAATTAGTCTGGCACTGAACCGTGCTTCTTTGGAAATGTTTGTCCTTAATTGAGATTTTAATGAGAATCCCGGTGAACAACAACAGAGAAGACAAGCAATACTTATTTTTAGAAGTTTTTTTTTTTTTTCTTTTTCCTGCCTTTGACGTGATTCGCATTTTGATCTTGCATTTTGACTTTTTTTTAATTTAATTTTGCTGCACTCATTCGATTTTTGGTGTTAAGCTGAAACCAAAGAAGGATGAATGAATTGTCTTTTTGATCCGGTGAGCTGCAGTGCCATGTGGAGTCAGTGAAGGCAGCTGCGTGGCAAATTACGTTCAGTACCACCACAGCTCATTTAGTAATGCCTCTTGGGACAGTAGTATATACAGTGCGGCGAGAGTCTGAGTACTCGGTCCTTTTCTGTACCTGTTTGACTAAGTGGCTGGAACTCCGCAGAGAAATTACAGCAGTGGAGTTTCTAATTGACAATTTAAATGTTTTCAACCACCCATGACTGAGCAAGGGAATGAGAGAGAGACGGAGCGAGAGGGAGAGAAAGCCTGCACACCTTCATCTCCCTCCGATGCACACACAATGCAAATGCGCCCCTAGTTCTCTAATTGCACCAGATTCCCAACCTTGAATGAAAGTCAGGTTTCATTCGAATATATTTGAATAATCTATGTTTTAACAAGTAGAAATTGGATTTTTAAAAAGCTATCTTTACGGATTGATAACAAGGAGCAGCAGCACACACGGCAAATGACTTTGAAGTAAATACCATTTCCCTTCTTCATACTTTTGTACTAGGGATGTCCAATGATAGCTTTTGTTATGCCGATATTGTCCAAACATTTCAAATTCCAATGTCAACCCGCACTGATACATGCAGCTGTTTTTCCCCCAAACTATTTATAGGCCGCATCACGTGCTGTATCTCCTGTCATGGAGTTAAGACCTATTTTTATCGTGATACCCCACTAAAGGCATTGCACAAATTAGCATAGTTGGTACACAATACGTTTTTCAGCATATCTGGCGAAAAAAAAAGATTCTAACCGATATCACATAATTACGCTAACATTTGGCCGATATTATTGGATATCTCTACTTTTTACACAGGCTGTCTGTTTCTAATGCCTGTACGTTCTGCTGGTTGTGCCTACAGGACCCAGTACCGCCTGTGCGGAGGAGTCTTGCTACCATCAGGGGGTGTGTCTCCAGCAGTGGGAGGGCTTCACCTGCGACTGCACGATGACGTCCTATGGTGGTGCATTCTGCAACGACCGTAAGTAACACGCCCCCTTTGTAGTATGTATGGCTGGTGTGAGTGGTGCTGGCAGGTGATTAGCTGTTGCCAAGAAACAAACACCGACTTTTATATTCGCTTAGCAACAAACTTGTATATGGCTGGGTAGCCAAAGTATTAGCCTAGTTAGAAAATTACCTCATAACCTGTTTGGCATTTCTGCTCACATAGAGATTTTTCTACACCAACACATTTCTATTTTAAAATGAAAAGAACATATAATCTTGTGTACTTCTGTCCTTGTGTGTACAGTTTCGGGCAAGTTACAGGAAATGTGATTAAATAAAAAAAATAGGTAGAGGTAAAAGATTTGGAAAGGTAATATTTTTCTCGACGGGATTGACAGAAGTGACTTCATACTGAGCAGTGCTTTGTTTGGTGAGGCAGAGCATGTGCACCATTAGCATTCAGAACTCCACGGTACTGATTTAAACAGGGGCAAAGGCTAGGTGACAGGCTAATAGACTTGTTTGCATAAGTCTTCATTTGCTTATTAAGTGCTGTGAGCTGAGATAAGCGATATCAGCCCCCCCAACTTATTTTTCTTCAATTTTAAGTTATGCACTTTTGACAGAGTTTATCTTTGATTGCGGCGTGCTGTTGCCTTTGTTGGGCTGCCTGATGCAGAGTATGACTGGATATGACAGTAAGGGGCTGATTAGCAAGGTGTTCCTTCAGCTCTTGAAAGTCTGCAGCAATGGGGAAGGCGATAACTGCTTTGTCGGCGTGACAGCTCTGCTGAGATAAGCAGAGAGATCCCAGGCTCGGTGGAAGAAAGGGAACAAATGGGGAAGGGGGAACGAGACGGCGGTTACTGTTTCCTGCGCGCTGCAGGTTTCGACCTACGCCGTGCGTTCCTGGCTTTTACTGTGTTGGCTACAAAGCTGACAGCCGCTAGTGTGTGTACCAAGAGTCAGTGTAACAACTCGTGCTCTGTGGGAAGATGGAGAGTGTGTGAGTGCGGTCGTGAAGTGTGCAGAGCAAAGGAGAGGACTTCACCAGCATCTCGATTTCAAATGAAATCTGGCTGACTTGCCTGTGAACGTCCATTCCTAACTCTGTTATGTCTCAGTGCAACTTCTGCAGTGTTTTCATGGTAAAAAAAGGCTGTGGTACTTTATTATTACATATCCAAAGTATTTAAAGTTATGTTTTTTTTTTTAAAGTCATTTATCATGGCTTTGCTAACAGTATTCGGGAGGAAAACATTTAGCATTTTTTATAAAATGATATTTATTTAGTGAATATATGTAATGTGTAATACTGAAGTGAAGCAGCCTTTTCAACACTGTGCATGCCTTGCTGCAGCCGGATTCTTTATGCTGTCATAGTATGTCTTAATTCACATTCCTCTACAGGCAACACATCTTTTATCTTGAAATGCCGGAAGTCATGATTTCATCTTCCGACCTTGAGATCTTGACTTTGACCAAAATCTCCAACTTTCACTTTTGATGTTTCCTTCCTGCTTCTTCTCTTTTCATTCACTCATTTCTTGCCGCTCAGGCATCTTTTATCGTTGCGCCTTTAAAACACTTAAACTCTGTCAAAAGGATTCAACCTTCCGGGGTCTTTTTTCTTGACTCTGCTCCGAAGACCCAAGGTAGGATGAATCGCTCGGGTGACGTTCAGAATTTGCGACGTTAATTAACATACGACATGATCTGCTGAATATATGCAGGTGATTCAGCGTTTGATCACGGCCATATTGTCTGAGGTGCAGGCATGCTATGGTCTACAGAACTCTATAAAGATGTGACACACGTGCCGACTTAATTACAAAGATGTACTGTATCCGTTCATTGTTCAAGCGGTGTATGTGTTGAATCTTAACCTGATTGAGAAAGGGAAGCGTTTATTACCTGAGGTAGAAATCTGGATCCCCAGAGATCTACTTTATTACATTGAGTTTTTATGGCATATTGGTTTCTAGAAATGGAAAAAACAAGTTCTGTCAATCTGTTTGCACTGACTTACTGCTGTACATTTAGCTAAACATCTAGATCAGGTCTATGAAGATTCTCAGTCATCCAGGTCATGGTCAAGTTTGAAATTTCTGTTAGGCAACTGGATGTGAAATTTTCTCAAGAAGATGTTTCACCTCTCATCCAAGAGGCTTCTTCAGTTCTAACTGGTGCTGGGGAATACAACAGAGATCTACTTTATTACATTGAGTTTTTATGGCATATTGGTTTCTAGAAATGGAAAAAACAAGTTCTGTCAATCTGTTTGCACTGACTTACTGCTGTACATTTAGCTAAACATCTAGATCAGGTCTATGAAGATTCTCAGTCATCCAGGTCATGGTCAAGTTTGAAATTTCTGTTAGGCAACTGGATGTGAAATTTTCTCAAGAAGATGTTTCACCTCTCATCCAAGAGGCTTCTTCAGTTCTAACTGGTGCTGGGGAATACAACAAATATATACACTAGGTGTGAAAGAATAAAGCTACTTCAGGTCCACCCTGTTGGGTTGGGCCTTGGGGTCAACTGTGAAAGTTGTGTAACTGTAAATGTCGTTACGAGTCTGATGGGTCGTTGTGGTCCTCATCAGAATGGTTTTGTCCTTTGTTATGTGAAACTCAGGTGAATCTTTTGGGTATTGTTCCTAAAAGTGCTTCACCGATATACAAAGCCCATTCAGCCTGATTAGACCACACCATTACCTATGAATAACAATAAGTCCATCTTTTACCCCTTTGTTTTCACAATAAGTACAAGTTTATTATAAAATATCCATATATAATGAAAGATAATTGGACAAAACATCACATCATAAGTCTGCAAATTTTCACTTTCAAAATGTATAAAGTGGGCCAGATTGACCCCCTGGTGGGGCCAGTTTTGGCCTGCAGGCTGTATGTTTGACACACCGCCAATTTAGAATATTTTACAGTGATGAGATGCTTAAGGTTTATTCTGTAGGCCCGTTGTCTGTTTCACGTGATGTGGACAGGCTGTCAGTTTGATTCACTTATGTGACGATTAAAACGAATATTGCACAAAGAAAAGTACTTTTTTCCAGTGCACTTTGCCTCACTGATGCATTGAAGTGGTCTCTTTCTATTGGATTTGCTGCAGGGGGCCGTGACTCCAACTGAGTCCAACTGAGGGTCCAAGTCCGAGTGTGAGTTCTAATAACAATATAAAAGAAGAGTGTAAGATGTTAGGAGAGTTAATACAAAGTTTTTTCTTCTTCAAGGTAATTAGCTTCTAGTTTGGATTCATGCTAAACCATGATTTACAGTCTCAAACACACCCCTCCAAAGATAAAATAGTCTGTAAACTTTTCATATATTGACTTTATTTATTTATGTGCTTTCAGCCTATACTACAGATAAGAGGAAAAAGAGACTACTGGGGAGTTGGAGAAAAATATTATGAAGGAAGTGATGACAGTAAGCCAGAGTTGCGACTGATCCTGATTTCCCAGAGTGAACCAACAGTCATAAATCAACACCGTGAAGCACTGAGACATATCTTAATCTTTAATTCCACTGTAAAGTTTCCATCACTTGTGCGTAGGGACAGCATTTGTTTTACACGCACAGCTTTGCTATGTAAGAATATGTATGCAGGTGTCCCGTAAAACGTCACGGGACACGCCTGTTCAGAACTTTAGCTTTGTCGGACTTTACTTGATTGATGTTTTGTAGCACGCAAGTGCATCAGTAAAACGGCAAACACCGGAAAGCTGTCCCTTACCCCACGAACACGCGCTACCGCACAGGCGAGCGTTTGTTATTCAGCAGCAGCCTGCAGTGATTGACTGGTCTATTTGTTTCTGCGTAGCATATAAGTGGGCCACTTGGTATTCTGCCTTATTCATCTGGAACCAACCCAGACAGAGATTCTGTGTAAGTGTGTGCTGTACCAGGGATTTGTTTCTCTCTCTCCCTGCTCCGTGAGAGAGCGAGGGAGATGGAAAAGCTGGGATGAGAAGGCTGTACAGTTCTTTGTTTAGTCGTACGCTTTCTCCGGGCAAACACAACACATGCATGTGTAAAATGATTCCAGCTGTCGCCGCACTGAGCTGTCAAGCATACTAATTGAATGCAAAGTGTCAGCTTGTGAGCGGCACAGCTGACGATTCCCTCCTCTGCCGGAGCCTCACCTGTTCTTTCTGATCTCCAGCAACACGCCCACATGTTCAGTCAAGAAGGCGAAAAATATATGTATGTCTAGTATAGAGAGCACAGAATGGGTCCTGCAATTGTACACCACTTTGGTGTGTAGAGTTATAAGTGAAGCCTGCATGGTTGCCCAGGGATTAGCGATGTACTGCATATGAGTCACATCTTAAAGTCAAATCTTAGATGGCTAATTGTAGGATTGGTAGAATTTTTACCAAGGACGTCGAACAATTCAAAGGTTACTCTGCTAAATCAGAATAATTTATCGCAATTAATTGTGATTAATTGAATTATTTCAACATACCTAAATATATCGTTTTTCAGTGGATTGTTGGAACCACAATAAATAATACCAGGTATATTTTTCTTTGTGTCCAGTCCAAATGAATATGTCAAGAAATACAACACAACATTTCCCTGCATACAGTTTATATGATATGCGCATCATTCAGCCCTTGAGTTAAAATGCACTGCATTTTTTAAAATCTTGATTAATCTTGAAAAAGCTATTAACATGATGAAATGTGTTAATTTCACACGCCCAAAATTTAGCGGCAGCATTTCCTTTAATTAAAGCAGTGAGAATCACCAGCATCTATAAAATGACTCGAATGGCTCGACGACATTGATAGGCTGCGAAAAGTCACTCGGTCACGCTGACACTCACACCTCAATAATCTCCAATAAAATGCTGTGAGTCAAAAGTATTTTGCTCTCACCTTCTCCACGCACTCTACAGGCGACTGTTCACTCGCAGCCCTCGACACATCAGTATTCTCTGCAGCATCTCGGGCCTCATGAATCATGTATGAAGTATTTGTGTAAAGCACCGGGTGTAGATTCCCCA